TGATTTTTTAAGTATTTCTCAAGTATGCAAATTATTAATTTTACCTCAAATACTAACTATAGATCCAATTTAATTCGCAAGAATCCTTCTCTGTGCATAACAATAGAAGATTAAGATTAAGAGTTTTAAAYACAAAAGAAAAAACTGGAAGGCTGAAGATACGCATTGATATATAATATGAAATGGTGATAAAATTAAGTTGTTTTTACGAGTCTGAAGATGTGCATCGGATTTTGGCTATTTGTCACTAATGTATATTATTTATATATATCACTACATTGTAATCATATAATATATTAAATATTAAATTGACTCTGTCGGTTTACAACAGTAGGTACATAATTCATAATTGTACAATCCATACATTATCATAATGCTACACTCAACAACTAAAATTGAGATCATTACGGTGCTAAACCGTAATTATAGGGACTTTGGTCAAGTTAAATTTATAATACAGGGGTTGCTACAACGATGCGACTCCCGAGTGAGTCTCACGTGGCTCTTGACACCAAGCTTCGTTAGATTAAAATTAATGTATATACCTAATATAAAAAGCACTTCTCAAAAATAAAATCCCATTTCTTAAAGTGTACCTACCTGAACAGCAATACTCTGTGAAGTGTAAAAAATGAATATTCCTTTATTTGTTATAAAATTAAAAATGTGTTTTCATTTTTAAAAAATGCCTACCTATCTTAACCAGTGGCGTCATTTCAGGTTTTGAAAGGGGGGGGGCAAAAATTTTGACCGGCCCATAGGCCATAATTTAAAAAAAAAACCACTCGCTAACAATTACATTTTTATCTCAGTACAAACAGTCTTCTTACATCTTACACAATTATATGCATACTAGKTAGTTATATGTGATAACTGTGGTTACTTTAGGCATAAATAACACATTTTTTTTTGAAAGATAACAATGACTAATTAATACATAGGTATATAAAATATAATATGTAGAGGGATACCCTATATTACCTATTAGTATTTAGCATTGAGTAATTAATATATGCTCAATGCTATTATAGCTACTTATTTACGTGTTAGTACGAGCCACGGATCTATTTAGCAATGACATGAATGTTATGAATGACAAATGACGCCACTGATCTTAACAATGTGTCTCACTTCGAAATAGCTTCATAAATTTGCGGCTCCCAAAATTAAGATTAATGCGACCACCCCTGCTATAATATATAGGTATAAATTAAGAGTAAAGCAGTATAACTTTTATAAGATTATTATAACTTTATTAGTTCTAAAGTTCTAATAATAGATCTAAATATAAAAATTTGGATTTGGATTATGAAAGTACCTAACCTTTTGTATCGATATATTATTATGAGTTATGACAATGTCTGCATATAGTGTGCGCAGGTGTGGAGCCAGGATTTTTTAAAGGGAGTATCTTAATTTTTATTTGAATGTATACAACTTGTGGTCTTAAAGGAGATCATTTTTAATCATCAGTCTTTATATTAATAATATCAAATATAAAATCGGACTTATATAGAAACAATATTAGATACTATAAATATATGTTTTGCATAAATACGATCAAGAGAGAGGAGTTTGTTTCAACACCCAAAATACCTTCCTGCCTACGCCGCAGAGTGCATGTAACATAAAATATTATGTATAGGTATACGTATTTTGTTCATTGTTTTTGTATAATTTATGGGAGGAGTGTGGATTGGGAGTTTCTAAACCTCCTTCTAATAAATCATGCATTGACTATTGAGTATAAAATAATAATATATATACGATACCTATATGTCCTGAACACTATATACCTATACACACGGGTACAAGACGGTCAAGACGATGGCGGTTATAGGTATTTGATTTGCACTAGATATAAAGTTTTATCTATTTTAAATTTTTAAATAAAACTACATTGATTTTTACCGATTATTTTCTAAACACTTAAATAATATGTTGTCATAATTTGATTATTATTCGATAACACWAATATTGAAATATTATACCTAAATATGATATGTTTTAATRATACATTTAATACGATATTTATTATGTTATACAATTATAATTTTAGTATATAGATAATAGATTATAATACATACTATTTTATAACAATATTAACAATTTAATTTTAATTTAGGTATATTTTAAATTCATGGAGTTGTAASRCTTRYRARKYWTAC